AGGTTACTAACAGTCCTGAAGATCACTAACGGCATGTTAAATGTGTCATATAAATGTTACAAAAACTCATAAACCGATTAACAAAAGGTATATTCAATACTTGAAGGTTACTAACAGTCCTGAAGATCACTAACGGCATGTTAAATGTGTCATATAAATGTTACAAAAACTCATAAACCGATTAACAAATGGTATATTCAATACTTGAAGATTACTAACAGTTGTAACATTTATGTGACACATTTAACATGCCGTTAGTGATCTTCAGGAAAAACTCATAAACCGATTAACAAAAGGTATATTCAATGCTTGAAGATTACTAACAGTCCTGAAGATCACTAACGGCAGGTTAAATGTGTCACAAAAATGATACAAAAACTCATAAACCGATTAACAAAAGGTAAATTCAATGCTTGAAGATTACTAACAGTCCTGAAGATCACTAACGGCAGGTTAAATGTGTCACATAAATGTTACAAAAACTCATAAACCGATTAACAAAAGGTATATTAAATACTTGAAGATTACTAACAGTCCTGAATATCACTAACGGCAGGTTAAATGTGTCACATAAATGATACAAAAACTCATAAACCGATTAACAAAAGGTATATTCAATGCTTGAAAATTACTAACAGTCCTGAAGATCATTAACGGCAGGTTAAATGTGTCATAGATGTTATTAATAATCATCCCCCTAGTGGCACAGCGGCATGTCTGCGGACTTACAACGCTAAAACCTGGTGGTGGGTAGAGCACAGATAACCCATTGTGTAGCTTTGTGCTTAACTTTAAAAAACAAACAAACAAATTAATAATAATAAACTGATTAACGAAAGGTAAATTCTGAATATTACTAATAGTTTCGAAAGTAAATCGAATCAGATAAAAGAAGTTTTTGCAAACAGCTTACGAAAAAGTGCTTTTTGTAACTTACCCCTACTTTGAGATTCTTCCCAGACTTCGAGTTCTTCAGTCACAAGTAACACGTACACAGAGGTTCTATGTTTCCTCTCAGAATTCTGTACAAATAATATGAAATTATAGCCCAAGAATTTTAGTAGTTTTCAAAAAAAAAAAGGGGGGAACACAGAATTTAAATTTTCTCTTGTGTGGCAAAAATATTCTTAGGTAAACATTTTTGAGAAAGAAAAAAAAGACATTACAATAAACGACATGAAAACGATAACGATTTAAAGCTAATAATATTTCTGTGTATTAACACATGTTTAGATTTACATTTAGATATCGATCAGACCCCCCCAGTGGCACAGCGGTATGTCTACGGACTTACAACACTAGAAACCGGGTTTCGATACTCGTAGTGGGCAGAGCACAGATAGCCCATTGTGTAGCTTTGTGCTTAACTTCAAACAAAGATATCGATCACTGAAAAGCCTCAATATATTTGTGTTACTTTCTATCTTGACATATTTCTCAACTGATGAATCAATGCATTCCAATCATGATAAGTTTTTGTTTTATGACTTTGCGCAATACCTCTAGTTAGAATGATATATTAAATTGGCTATATTCATTACGGGGGTAATTTTGATTATAAGTTATTGATAAGAAGACAATAAACTACAAAGAAAATATTCTCATCATGTTAAGTACTATCTCTAATAGCGACTGGGAAAAGAGTCTCAATGTGATGTGATCCATTAAGAACCTACTTTTATTACGTATATTTACTTTTCATTTTATATAAACATGAACGTATGTAGTAAAACAAAGTAAATAAAGTAAAAGCTATTCAACAAAATAGCTTCTACATACATACTGCGCACAAGCAACGTTTCGGTCGATAAACGCAAAGATAATAATTTGCATTACTGCTATTAATAACATTATACATAATTTATTAGAGTCTGTATACCAACTTTGAAGACCATTTCTTTTGAAACTCAACAACAACAAAAAAAAAAACGTGCCAGGGAAACTGTATACGAACTAACTGATAGGTCTGCCTCATGTAAGCAATAACTAAACCACAGAAATTACTTGTAGTAAACTTGTCAAGTTGTCTACACAGTCTCGTGGTTTGTCCATAGCTACGTGATTTCATAAGGCGGCTAACTGCGTATAACCTTTTCATCAGTTTGTGTATTTTTTTCAGACATCATTTTTAAATAGTTTAGCACTGTCATTCTCGCCGTACTAAACCTAAAACAAAGAACCCGAATCGTAATCCTGGGTGTAAACATTCAGTATCTTTAAAGAGAACATTTCTGTTCGTCTAATTTGTGTGTGGACTTTTCTGTCCTTTTTTATTTTTTATTTTGCTGTATAAATGATATACTTTTGATGTGATAGTTTTGACTAGTTTGTTACTAAGGAAACAAAAACAGTATATCATATGGCGGTACGACATTTTTTGTTGTTTTTTTACCACGTCAGAAACTTCTCTACAACAAAACATGTCTAGATTCCTCTCATCGTGTAAACGTTACACTTTTTTTAGGTAACACTGATACTGAGCGGAGAGAAGAAATGGAACCAGTTGCAGTTACTGAGGCATCTTCGTGCACATAAAACTAGTTCATGGTGATTCGAACCCCCATGTTTCATCATTGTTTGTCCTTAAACTTACTGGGCAATCCAAAAAGTAAATTTTTTTGGTATATACATGCTCTCGTTTTACCTTAAGCTCTTCAGAAAATCCTTTATGAAATCAAGAAGACGGTAAAAAAAGAAATCAAAATTATCTTGACAAACAACTTTATAATAATACTTTACTAGTATGATCGTTGAACCCTAATAATAGGGCCTACCCAGAGAAAGAGTCACCGAGATGAATTTGGTGTCGTAGGTCCCAAATTTTGTGCTCTGTAATATATCTAAACTTAGCAAATATCAGCTTTGGAAAAAGTTTAATATGGAAATTAGCTGAAGTTACATACTTACATTGCTCTTGCATACACTGAAATACAAAACTAACTTTCGACCTCATGAATCTGAATTCATGAACCGTGTTAAAATTGCAAAAACATTCTTTAAAGTTTTTGGAAAAACATCAACTTTGTTTTTGGAAATTTCTAGAAGAAATAATTGCAGCGAAACTGAAAAATCAAAGACAAGCTGCAAAAAGGAACGTTACAAGTAGCGAGTAAGTCTTTTTCACATTCGTAGCTCCGCAGGAAACAATGTTGCTACACAATGGGCTATCTGCACTCTGTCGAATGCGGGGATTCAAACCCCGGATATTAATATTTTAAGTTAGTAAATTTACCGTTGACCCACCGGTGGACCACAGAAATCACAATTCTTCTTTGGTTATCCAAGTCTTTTTGGAAAGGACTTTTCGAACTGACAAACATATTGTTTAAGTTTTAATACGGCCCCGCATGGCCAGGTGGTTAGGGAGCTCGACTCGCAATCTGCGGATCGCGGGTTCGAATCCCGGTCCTACCGAACATGCTCGCCCTTTCAGCCGTGGGGGCGTTATAATGTGACGGTCAATCCCACTATTCTTTGGTAAAAAGAGTAGCCCAAGAGTTGGCGGTTGGTGATGATGACTAGCTGTCTTCCCTCTAGTCTTACACTGCTAAGTTAGGAACGGCTAGCGCAGATAGCCCTCGTGTAGCTTTGCGCGAAATTCAAAAAACAAGAAACAAACAAACAAGTTTTAATACAGAAGCCAAATTAAGATATATTGTATACATAAAACTGGTTTATCAACAGGAGAATTTTGATAAATGAAAAGGAAAGGGCAAGAGGGATGGTTTTTGTTTTTCCTAATCAGGTTGTTTAGTTTAAATAGCTGAAAAAAAGGAAGACTGGATTTGAGAAAATTCGGAAGTTCCTTAGATTCTTATCAGATCATTTGACTGGATTCTGAAAAAGTAATTAACCTTTCGATATATATTTTCCTTTTTTGGCAGCAAGGAAAATGGACAAGGTTCATGCCAAAGCATGACATATCCAGTAAAACGTTTTCGTTATGAATCAGACAGGACAAACATTGACAATAGAAACCAGTCTTCAGAGGTATAAATTTTTGGTGGTTGCTGAAGAAATTGGAATAATGAAGAAAACTTAACTTCCGCACGTGTGATTCTGTATTGAAATCCGATATTTGCCGTGTTACTTAAATTGCAATAAAATGATTTTATGAAGAGAGTTATGCGATGGCTGAGGGCACCTTAAATATTCAACTAGTAAAGATAAAAAATATCGTTACGTCCAATACATATTTTGATGTTGTTACCTGGAGTATATAGCTAACAAACAAAAAGTGTGGTTACATAAACTAGGTACGATAAATCAGCAAAATTTTCCATACTAATGACGTCATCAGGATGGTCTGGGCATCTAGTAATTTACTAAAACAAAACTATTTTTTCAAATATCGTCAAGATTGGATATTATTTTCATACTTTTCCATTTTCACTTCAGGTATCCATCTCTCATCCACCCCATGTATACCAAATCTTGAAGACCCCGTAAGCATAGGAGTTAAACAGATAATTTTCATGTAAGACAGTTTCCACAAAACGTGTTTTTTTTCACTTCAGATTTTCGATATACTATAGAGATCAAACTTTAAGCTCCAAATGTTCCAAAAATAACTTGAGAAAACTTTGTTACAAATATAACTCCTCAACGGCCATGCTATGGTGGACACGTGATTGGCAGGAGAGTTAGTAGAATTCATAATCGTAATTTAAGCATGAATTATGAACAATGTGACAGACATGAGAGCTAACTTGATTTATAACCATACCTTACATACGGATAATGAACAAATGACTGGTAAGAGAGTTAGTACAATTTATAATATAGAACACGCGATATATGATTCGTTAATATTTTCTAACCGAGCCTGTTGTTTTGAATAACTAGGCCATCTGTTTCTTCAAACTAGCTTGATGTTTCGATTTATTCGCTGAAATCTCGTGATACTTTTGTTATATATTGGGGAAGTTAAAAATACACAATTTTTCCTTAATTATCCAAATCTTTTTGGAAAGGACTTTTCAAGCTGATAAACCTTTTGTTTACATTTTAAAACAGAATCCAAACTAAGATATACTGTATACATAAAACTCTCAATTGTAGAAGCATTACTAGATAAAGTACTTGTTCCGCTCAGAAGTTGGACAACAACATGGTTTTATTTCATGTGAGAAAATAAGACAGTTATTTCTGTGCCATGCTCTTGCAATCACAAACATCCCAATTCTAACTCCGAAAATATATTCTTACTTTTATATATATATTTCTGGGAATGTTTAGAATCTCTTTACTGTTTAAATTCTTCAGGTGACATTATTCTCTCGTTGGGTGTTTTGTTAGTTCCTCTTAACATACCATAAAACTCCCAGTTGCATTAAAACACTCTAAATGCTCTTTGATACAACACTCTACGAAACACCAAGTGTTTGAACAATATACTGTTGACGTTTATCTTCATTAAGTAAAACTGTAATTTGAGTATGTTAGTTCCTCTTAACATACCATAAAACTCCCAGTTGCATTAAAACACTCTATATGCTCTTTGATACAACACTCTACGAAACACCAAGTGTTTGAACAATATACTGTTGACGTTTATCCTCATTAAGTAAAACTGTAATTTGAGCATGTTTCTTGTTACTAAATTCTTGGGTATTTTTTATCTAGTTGAGTCATGGGAAACTTGGAAAGCTTTTGAATGATAATGGAACTTTGCTGTCATTCTGTGTAATGAACTAAATTGAACCAAGAGCGGTGGTAATTTAAAATAGATATAAAAATAAAAGTATTATTGTGAAAAGATTATTCATTAAGTAAAAAAAAATATTTTAATTGCAAAATAATATCACAAAAGAACAGACACATTTTGTTTGTAGTTAAGTACAAGGGTACATTGTCCATCACGGGTATCGAAACTCGATGTTTCGCGTTATAAGTTCACAGACTTACTGCTGAGCCACTCAGGGGCGGCAAAGAAAGATACAACAAGAGAGAAAATTACTCTTAATATTATGCAAAGGTAGTTCCATTTTAGCAAATTTTTATAACATGATTATTCTTATGC